CAGAAAGCGACCTTACCGGCAGAACGTAACGATCAAGAAAGCTTAGTTGAATGCAATGTCGAGCAAGGTTGTACGGCAGCATTTGTTAAGTTCGGCAATTTAATCAATCACATACTTGCCGGTAAACACCGTCGTGTGGTTGAAAAATTGTCTTTAAAAGACACAGCAATGAAAATGTATCACTCGAAATTGGTAGAAGTTGAAAATCGACGAATCATATCTCTCGATATAAATTTGATAGATATAAATGAGAACGAAATGAATTCCCTTTCTAAAGGTTGGGCATTACCGAAGCGTAAATCGAATACAGGTTTTTCAGATAAGCAGCGTGAATATCTTAAAAAGAAATTTGATGAAGGTGTTTCGGGTGTGAAGCATTGGAAACCCAAAGAGGTTGTGTTAGATATGGAATCTTTGAGAGAAAATAACAAGTTCTACTTTTCGGCTAACGAGATTCTGAAGGAGAGTCAAATTCGATCATTTTTTAGTCGAATAAAGCGCGAAAGACCGATAAAAGTTGTACAAAAGACACCAACCGATAAAATCTCCGTCAAGAAACAAGTTGTTAAAGATTTCGATGACGAAAATGATGATGAAGAAATCGAGTCAGACCTACAGGATTTAGAGAACAATCTTCATGACATCGAAACTGCTGCCGAAGAAATAAAAATATTGGAAGATATCTATATAAATGCTAAAGAGGCACTTCAATCATCCTCACAGAATAGATCAGAAATATCTTCATCTACTACATTGAAGAATTTAAAATAAATTGTAAAGCCGACTCGGGTTTACCGATCAATGTTCGTATAAAAAAATATAAAAATGAGCACGGGTTTTCCGAACAATGCCTATTCAAAAATGATGAAAATGTTCACTTGTGTACGGGTTTACCGAATAACACTCACGAACATGAAAGATAAAGGCATGAACTTTTTGAATTTTCATCTTCAATACAAGGTCGTTCAAGAACCAATAACTTTCACAAAAATCGGAATAAACGTTTTAATTCATCAAATCGTAATAATCAACAAAAAGATAATTATGATGCTAAACAATTTAAATTTACAAAAGAAATGCTGAAATTGTTGGACATGCTCTAGGTATAGCCTGGAAAGCAGCCCACTAGAAAGAACTAAAATTCATTTTTTTTCGTTTTTTTTCATTTTCAGTTATCGTAATAAATGAAACTATAACTCCTTTATGTAGTTGACAGAAGCTAGCGTATGTGAATTAATTCGCACTTTAGAATAGACGAAGAAGTCAAAAGTGGCGTAGTCTGAGATGGTCTATCAATTCTCATACTTGTTCATTTCTTAGCTGAAGATAAAAGCAGTCCATTCAATCGAATGGTTCTTTATTCATTTACAAAATTTGTCTAGAGACCGTATAAAGTAAAGTTCTATTCGGAAAAATTTCGAAATTATCGATTAATTGAATTTCTCCGGAATATCTGACTTCGGCCGCTTATTTGATACCTATAATGCTATAATCTATCGGTTTGCCTTATAGTTGATAAAAAGATTTAGAAAAATAATATTTTTTAGGATTTCTGATCATTGTATAAATCATTAGTTTCTGTAATTACATACCTTATCTAAAATAAGAACATATCGCTATAAAACTTATAACTCGAAAATCAAATATGATCTAACAGAGCCAAGGAAATCGATTTATTTACCACTAAATCTAGAGAATATCTACCACTATAGAAGGAACTAGCTTATCCACTTTTTCCCCGTGTTCGCACTCCAACTGACTATATGTTTTTCGATGGATGCCAAAACTGCAGTAAATATAACATTAATATTACAAAGTATTACAATATGCAATCGTTAATTTTATTTTTGCGATGGAGAGTATGTCTATTTTCCGCTCTTCATAGAGCGTATTAATATCAGAAAAATATATATCTATCTGTGGAATACTCTAGATGAGTCATAGGTTACCAACAATTTTATGTTTTATAAAAAAAATCATCGAAAACTATTTTTTCATAAAAAATTCACCTTTTTAGTCAGCATTGTAACCGATTTTTCGCCCAAAGCGGAAACTTTTCTCAACTTTTTTTTCACCATTTTGTAGAGGAAACAAAACTGTACAACATATCACAAAATCAGCGTGGGGGATAAGTGAAAAGATTAGACGGCAGCTGATATACTAAAAAAAATGTACATTTTTTTCAGTGAAAAATGATGAGTTCTTGACAGTATTTAATCAACAATCCTAAGTTAGCTTATTAGAATGGGATATGTAAATAGTTACTTTTGTTCAGCTTTTGACGCTCTATCGTTTAGTATATGATACAAAAAAATTCGTTAGTTTTTTGTAATAGGAAAAAATGGAAATTTATGAAGAAACTTTTCGGTCATATTTTTCACACCTTTTCTCGAGTCTTCTCAATAAAATTGAGCTAAATTTTCACCAACTCGACCAAATGAGCTAACAATTTGGATTTAGAGGTTTCAAATGATGCTGAACAAAGTGAGAATGTCAAATCAAAAATCTAAATTTCATCCAGTGCCTCGATATCTGATACGATACTCGATCGTCTCGTGGACCCTCTCTTAAAATATATTCCACTGTCGATGACAAAAATGAGCAAAAATTTAACTTCTGTCGCATGTTTTTAAGTATATAATCACACTATTGTTCTCTACTTTCAGTTAAATTCCAGTAAAATGGTTGCAAAACATATTTTTCTAGATAGAAGTTCAAATTTTTGTCAGAGTTTTGTTGAGAAATAAATGGACGAGTCACTATTATGTTGTGTGGGGATCTAAAAGAAAACAAAAACTACCGGTAAAAGTTGAATAAATAATAAAAAACGAGTATTATTCATTTCAACATGGACTATTGTAGTAAGATGACATCCGAATGATCACTGGCTTTCTTCGGTCGGTTAAGACTAGCTTTTGACTTGAATGTCTGATGATATGACATAGGGTGTGGGTACAAATAGATATATACATTCACACCCACATCCATCCTCTTCGGAAAACGAAAAGACAAAAATCCATCGTAATGAGTTTATTGTATTGAAAAACGTTGAACACGATGATTTCCATAATCGACGACATAGAGATTGCCCTGACAATCAAATGACAAATCCGTAATCAACTTCAACTGATTTGCTCCTGCTCCTAGACCATTTCCACCAGCAATGACATTGCCCTTTTTCTCTCCTTTAGGCCAACGCATCACTCGATAATTCAAGGAGTCTGCCACATAGACGGTATCCAACGTATCGACGAACAGTCCCTGAGGATACAACAAGCTTTCCAGGCCAGTCCCATAGCGTTGACCTCCAGCGACGACAGTTCCTTCTTTTGCATCTTTATTCCATTTTATCACACGATGATTGTCCTTGTCTGATACGTAGACAGTCTGTTGTTGATCGACAAAGATAAAGGCCGGACCATTGAGTTGATTGAGACCAGTACCTTTGCCATTGCCACCAGCCACGACAGTTCCATTCTTGTCTCCAATTTGATATCGTATTACCTCATGTTTTTTGTTGTCAGAGATGTAGAGATATCTATGATCATCCATTGCCAATCCGTAGCAATCGATGTTGTCGATGAGGATTTCTCCTTGAATTATACTACTATGACGAGGCCACTGTAAAACTCGTTGATTCAATCGATCACAAATAATGAGACTATCCCTCTCTTTATCAATCAACACATCCGATGGTCCATTCAATTGATCCAATCGATTTCCTTCCCTATTGCCACCAGCTACCACTTGTCCATTCCTATCACCCATCTTCCATTGAATGATACGATGATTGGGCCAGTCAGCGATAGTCATCGTTTCATCATCCTCAATGAAGAGACCGAAAGAACCTCCGAGTTTATTAATGGCACTGCCTTCTCCATAGCCTCCAGCAACGGTCACGCCATTCTGTGCCCATCGGGCAGTGGCTGAAATATTGGGAATGACTACAACGAACAAAAAAAAGAATAGTCATTGTCGAAGTAATTCCCCTCTCTAGCATGGGGAAAAAGCTATGAAGGACACATTCGTCTTCTTCGAAGAAAATTCGATAAAACTTTCGAGAATGTTCTTTCCGCAGATAAAAATGTAGAATCCTTTTCCTAGTTTTCCATGAGAAAGAACGCTTTTGTAAAGATTCTAACATCTACGTCACTTTTAGTTTTTGTTAAGATCGTTTTGATTCTCAAAATTACACCTTGAGATTGTTGTAAGAAGATTTTTCTGAGAACGACACAGCGATATGAGGATTTTATTCGAAATTACCAGAACTCTGAATTTTTTTGCAGAGTGATCATTTATATGAACATTAGAGATGATGCCACATACATCTTGTGTGAAGAGTGTTGAATCATCGAACAACAAATGTCAAACCTAATCCCAATACTTTTAAGGAAACTTTAATCATACATGATTTTCTAACTGATAAATGCAGATCTGCCGAAGAATCTCCTAGGGAATTTGTATAGAGTATGCTAGCGAAATTATAGAAGGATTTTAGGAATTTATGTCAAGTTGTTCGAAGAACAACTCTTACAGAATCTTAGCAAACTCGGCAGAAGGCTTGGATGCATGTGAAACTGAACAAAGTTGACAGGGTTCCACGCAGAATACTATTCTATATAAAGGAACTATATATATATATATATATATATATATATATATACTTCAGTAAAAATTAGGATTTGCTAAGATCAACAAGCGTTAATTTATTGCTTACCTAGCTGCTGAATAGTTGTTCTAGTTGTAGTTGTAGTTGGAATTGTCGTTGTAGTATTCGCCACTATTCATTATCATAGAAAATTTGTATAAACAATTCAGATCGTATGAGATCTGACGTAGAATGTAATATAGAAATCGGTGCATTTAAGTTTTATGTAAAGCCTAAGCAGTGTTTCGAAGTGGGGCACCGATCTTACATAGTCTCAAAAAGATATTTTTCTTCTTTGAAAACTTATATTTGGTGAAAAACGTCTGTGTTCATCGAAGACCAAAAATCCAGCATAATTGTCGACAATTCTGTTTGATTTGATGTGGTTGAATCAAATCTATCGAAACTGTTCTGCGCAAATTCCTTGCTTCTGTTATATTTCAAATACGAGTAAAATATTTAAACATACTGAATGTCGTTGTAGGACAAGATCGTTATTCGAAGTATGAAGTTTGTAATTTGAACCTCTTATATAAATTGCACACATGCCAGTGTTTTCATCGTCTTACACGATTAGAATACTCTGCCACCGTATCAGTAATGTGAGTGAAACGAATCTATAGAGATACTCGAAAGAACTGAAGAATACTGTGCATATAGGTCGTTAAAAGCTCTCACTCTCGTCCCTCTTGTTGCCAGATAGTTCGAACATTTCTAAGACGATTTTGAGCGGCACTACAAGCTGAGCAATTTAATTTACATCCACAGTTGTATTATTGATCATTAGTGACATATTCAATTCAATGACTGAGGCACTCTTGAGCTCTAGTGTTCACTTCGTCATAGCTAAATGATTAGTCTTTAATTTCGCCAGGTTAGTCATTAGAAATATTGCAGAGAGAATCATGAATGCGTTTTCTTTTGAACTAGATGTTCATTGCAGTTGTCTTGAAAAAAAGACTGCCGACTAAATTGAATATTCACTAGACTCATTCGAGTATACAATAAAAGCTGAATAAAGAGAAATGTGGCACAATATAACTGAAGTGTTCTTCTGGAGATTCTGACTAGGAGCGGACACGCTCGGCTCACGCTCACAAAAAGTGAGCTGTTGCAAAAGTTCACTGAACTGAGCTGTTCAAACAGCTCATCTGAGCGATCCGAACTTTTTGTAGGGATACCCTTAGGTCCTCAAGACCTACTATAGGAGGGGAGGTACCCCTAGATCAACAAAATGTACTATATGGGATACCCTTAGATACTTAAGAACTCATATACAGAGTACCCTAAGGTCCTCAAGGGCCACTGTACAGGGTTTTCCTTAGCATCTGAAGGGCTACTATAAGGGAACACGAGTGAAAAGTTGCAGTTCGCAGGTTGTTCCCATAACCAGGAAACTAGCCACTCTTGACCAATGATCAAACAAACATCCAAGTATATTTCAGGAGGCATCCCCCCTCATAGTGAGGGTGACACACGGTCATGTTCGGCCTGATCCCAGCGTTATCGAGAATGCTCTATTGATTGATGAGTATATGTGGGGGTCCCCGTTCATCCCAACACCATAGAATTGCCAGGCGCACAAAACTTTTGAAGTCAAAGGTCAAACAACATCCATAAAAACTTGTGGTGGTCTTTTCGCGCTGATGGTGAGGGTAACACATGGTTAAGTTCGGGCCTAGTCCGGGTTTCTTGATGATGCTTTATCAATTCATCAGTAAACCACAGGGTTCCATTCATTCCAACACTTCGGAATCAATAGACAAAAAACATCTGTGCTCAAAAGTCAAAGCACATTCATTGAAATTTTAGGAGGTCTTTGTCCCTTCTTTTGTGGAAGCCTCATGACAGTAACCCGAACAATAGATTTTTAGGACATAAAAGTATCGCGAAATAGTTTGCCTTGAGGACTTAAGGGCACCCGTCTATAGCAGGCCGTGGGGGTCCTAAGGGTAGCCCCTACATTAGGTCTTCAGAACCTAAGGGTACCCCATATAGTGGGCCTTGAAGACCTAAGCGAATCCCTACAAAAGTTCGGTTTGCTTATTTGAACGGAGTTCGCGAACTGAGCGTGTCTACCCCTAATTTTTACATATGAAATGTTCTACAAAATCGAATTGAATGATCAATAGTTCAATTAATTTCCGTCTCTGATGTACAATCAAAAATTCACTCACGAGGGAACTACCCGAGGTGCTAAAAAGCTTTTGAGCTGAAATTTTGTCCACAAGTAGGGAATATATAGACTAGAAAAAGTCTAAGAGGATATGTGCCCAAGTTGAGATTTGGCTGAGATATCGGCTTTTTCCTATAGTTTTTCTATGGGACCCCATTGTTTCCATTAATTCAAAGTTTCGAATTTTGACGTAAAACTTTGCCTATATCAAGACTTGAACTAGATTAGCTCATCTACAAAGTTTCAGAATTTTTGGACTTAGCATTCTCGAGATATGAGTCTGTTAGCATAAACACCATTCCTTACGGATATTTTTATATACATGAATATTTTGAAAACGTTATATCTTGGAAATGCTTAATCCGAAAATTCTGAAACTTTGTAGATGAGCTAATCTAGTTGAGATCTTGATATGGGCAAAATTTCACGTTAAAACTTGAACTTTGATTTAATGGGGAAAATGGGGTCCCATAGAAAAACTATAGGAAAAAGCCGATATCTCAGCCAAATCTCAACTTGGGCACATATCCTCTTAGACTTTTTCTAGTCTATGCATTCCCTACTTGTGGACAAAATTTCAGCTCAAAAGCTTTTTAGCACCTCGGGTAGTTCCCTCGTGAGTCTTCATGCATTGCTAAATATAACTAAAATCGATTCTGTATTTCATATGAATGGGTATAATTCATGAGAAGAGATGAAATCATTTTTTTTCCAATTATTGCAATTCATAGTGTCTCTATCATGCTTTATCTATTTTTTCAAAGGCTCTTCGACGCTTTCCATCGCTTCTACATCAACATGAACTGCATACGTGAGGTTGTGTTTGTTTTCTTACTTGCTATCGGTGGACAGAGTTGTTCATTAAAATTGGGCACCGGATAACAAACAGGAAGATTATGACATCGAGGATGATGAACACATCTATGGTTAGGTTCATGACAAAGGTTGTTTGAGCTTTCACATGCAACTAGTTCAGAACAATCCACGAATTCATCACTGCAGATGCCAATGTCAATAGCATCTGCTATATGAAAACAGGCACACCCACTATTTAGCGAACATCGATCATATTGAGCGATTCCACGACAGAATTGAGATGTCACTCGCACTAGTGACATACCAAATTAATAAAAATATATATAAAAAGAAAACAACGATAAAACCTGTAAAGCTTAAAAGTAAAATTGTTCAACATTAGATGCATAGGAAAAAATAGACTTTTAGAATTACCTGAATAGAATGAATACGAAACAACGAATTAATGTTGAAACCATCGTTTGCTTTGGAATGAGACAGAATAACGACGGCACCTACCTCTATATCTAACGAACATATAATGTTTTTCGCATTTGCCGAACATGAAGCAGCACACAACGTGGTCTTTTGATAATTAGAAATTCGATATTGCCTTATTGCTTTCTTAAGCACTTCATTTTTCTTCGAGAAAGTAATTTTTATAAAACAAGAAAAGTGTCGTAAAATTAATATGAGATTACTTCTGCAATATAAGCATTAACTCCTTCGGGGCGGACTTACTTTATGAGATAGATGAAATTTTTTTGAATATTCCTATAGTAGATTCATTTACATCACAAGTAGAGAAAACAAATAGTAGGATGCCAGAGCAATGTTGGCACATGATCCGAGTGGGTTGTGGGTGTGGGTGTGAGTGTGAGCATGAGTGAAGAGAGTACCCGGCATCCACATCCACACCCACCCACACCCACACCAAAAATGGATTGACTATAAATATGGCCGGTGTATTGAATTAATGATCAAAAATGACTTTTTTGCTTGAAAACTTCGATCGAAACTCGAAGAAATTGTTGATTTTAGCATACGCTTTTGAATAATGTATAATAGAATAGGGCTATCCCACAGCATTTCTCATTGTTGGTTCGTGGTTTTATGTGTCCCCGTCGTTTCTAATGTTTTTGACAGTTG